TATAAATATATATATATATATATAAACTAAAAAATGCATACCTGCGCTCTGGTGAGAAAAGAATCCGTTTCTAAAATGGTCCGAGTTTGCCTGCAGGGAGTGAGTTGGATACAGCTTGACGGCCGCAAGTGCGTAAAGTGCAAACCACTATGCAACAACACGCTCGCTGAGGTGAGCATCTAAACAGTATCATCGATACCAAACCCTATATATATATATATATGTACACACACACATATCTATCGTGGTTTCGGGTTAAGAACGCCCGCATTGCAACCAACATCACTTTCCAACCTGCATGGCTGCCGTAAAGGATGATGCTAGAGATTCTAGGCTTTGACGTTATCAGTTAATAGGGTTGTTAAGAAGCTTTCCCAACCGGTTGCAAAGTGGGGATTCCGGAAAGGCTCATGGGTTGTAAAGTGGGGGTTCTGGTTGTAAAGTGGGGATTCTGGTTGTAAAGCGGGGTACACGCCCCCTTCCACCCACCGACCCTACGCAACGTCCCAACCCCCCCACCCACCCTTCCTCCCACTTCACACTCCCTCCACCTCCTCCTCACCCTACCTCCCAAACACCCTCCCACCACCCTCTCACCCACGCCCTCCCCCTGTTCCCTTGCCCCCTCTCCTACCATCCCTGCCTTCCCCACCTCCTCACCTTTCCCTCCCCTTTGCCATTTGCCCCCTGCCCCCTGCCATCTCCATCATATCCATCACCCACATCATCTTCTTCATCTCCATCATCTTCATCATCTCCATCATCTCCATCATCTCCATTATCTTCATCATCTCCATCATCTCCATCATCTTCTTCATCTTCATCATCTCCAGCATCTCCATCATCTTCATCATCTTCATCATCTGCATCATCTTCATCATCTTCATCATCTCCATCATCTCCATTATCTCCATCATCTTCATCATCTTTGTCATCTGCATCATCTTCATCATCTTCATCATATCCATCATCTTCATCATCTCCATCATCTTCATCATCTTCATCATCGTCATCATCTTCGTTGCCGGTTTCATTGGTTTTAATACCGCTCCCTCTATTCTTAAAGGTAATTTCATAGGTATTGTACAAACCATAATACAATCGATTTATCTTAACTACTATATCAAAAATAGCTTACCACATCGCATCTACATACTTTGTAACCGGGCTTACTATAAAGGCCCCATATGAGGGATCCATAACGGGTTTCTAGAAAGTCTCTCTGTAAGGGATTTATAGTTTTTTATATAATGGATTTCTATAAGGTCTCTACATAGAGGATCTATAAGATTTCTATAAGCAATCTGTAAGGGTTTTCCAGAAGGGCTCCATACGAGGGATCTATACAGGGCTTCCATGTGGTTTCTACAAAGGGTAAGGAATATATAGCAGTTGTCTATGAAAGCTCCATGTAAGGGATCTTGCAAAGTTTTCTACAAAGAACTCCATTTGTTGATCTATACGAAGTCTCTATAAGTTCTCTATATAGGGGATCTATAAAGTTTCTATACGAATCTATAAAGGCTGTTTATGAGGGCTCCATACAAGGGATCTGTGAAGGGATACGGATAATTGTGCCTTTGTTAAGATCGTGAAGACTATTAACTACGTGATATCCTTCTTGGCTAATGCTGTGATCACATCAGATCTGATATGTATAGAGATACATTTGAAGGCACATGGGAAAACAAACTGACACATTACAGGCCTCCTAATGTGTCATTATTCCTATTGAAACCCTAAAGGCAAGGAACTTATACACTGTAGGGCATCTGTATATTGGAAGGCCTCTGGGTAGTATAAATTGACGCATTACAGGCCCTCTAATGTGTCACTCCACTCCCTCCTATGGAACCTCTATTGCAATGGAACTTTTCCACTGGAAAACCCCTGGACATAATAAACTGATACACTGCAGGCCCTATAATGTGTCGCTCCACCTATCCTATTGAAACCCTACTGATAAGAAATTGATACATCGGAAAGCACTTTTTATGGACATAACAAACTGGCACATTAAACCCACTATAATGTGTATCTTCACTTCCTGGGTCCTGGACTGGGCAAATTGACATATTACATGCCCTCTAATGTGTCACTCCATTTCTCCTACTGAAACCCTACTAACAAGGAACTTATACACTGTCAGGCCCCTGTACCTGGGCATATCAAATTGACATATTACAGGCACCCTAATGTGTCACTCCACCCACTCCGATTGACCCTCTACTGACAAGGAACTTATACACTGGAAAGTCCAGGACATGACAGATTGGCACATTACATGCCCTGTAAAGTGTTACTCCACTCCCCCTGTTCAAACTCTATTGACCTGGGCATAACGAATTAACACATTACAAGCCCTCTAATGTGTCACTTCATCCCTTCTATTGAAAGTATATTGACAAGGAAAATCCTACTTTAGAAGGCTCCTGGACACAGCGACCTGACACATTACAGACCCTCTAATGTGTTACTTCATTCCCCATGGAAACCTATTGACAAGGAACTTATAGACTGAAGCGACCCTGTATATTGGAAAGCCCCTGGGCAGAACAAACTGATACAATATAGACTCTCTAATATGTCACTCCACTCCCGCCTATCGAAACTCTTTTGGCGAGGAACTTATACATTCGAAAGCCCCCAGACAGAACAAGCGGACACATTACAAGCCTTTGACGTGTCACGCCCACTCATCCTACTGAAGCCCTCTTGATGTGAAGCTGATACATCGGAAAGCCCTTCTTACGGGCAAAAGAAACTGGCACATTGCAGGGGCTATAATGTTTCTCTTCACTTCCTGGACAGGGCGAACCAATACATTACATGCACTCCTCCTATTGAAACCCTAATGCCAAGGAACTAGTTTGTTCAGACCTGGCTTGCCTCATTAGATATGTGTAGCATATGTAACAACAGAATACAACAGGCAACGAGTTGTAGTAAGTGTTGCGACAGCATCATGTGATATGGATGTGTCATGCCGTATGTATTCCCATAATTTGTCATATGAACACATCCGATTCATGAGTACCGAACCTGTCAGGTTTTGCATTCTGGCCTGTGCGGAAATTACAAACAAATTTATGCCATATTACAGCGTGCATGCTTATTACGTGATTCTTGGATGGATATGTCGTATGCAATTACTCAAGCGCTGGCAAGTCAACAATAAGTCGAATTGTGAAATATTTGGACAGGACAATTTGTCCATGTTGCCGATATACTGCTGACAGTGCTATGCAGATCTCCACGACGATACATCATTCCTGCAAGATGTATGGACTCTATACACTGAAATGTGTCATCACAACGAATGTTTATTCATCGACAGTGTTGGGATCAACACTCGATGTATTCTGTTTATATAATACTCGTCTCCCTGAATGCGAGTAATTTGTTATAATTACTTGATAGAAAAATATAGCCTAGGCGACCCGAAACTTTTCAGGTCGTGGCTTTGTAATGTGGGCTGTGCTTATACCTTATATTTTGCTTTCCATTATGTGCTGAAGACAACAAACCGCGGTTATATAGACCCTAAAGGTATCGGGCACATATATATATATATACATACATATAATTTTAACGCTACGCCGCCCGCCTCGGCTCTTTAGCGGCAGGGCGAGGGAGCAGTGGATGTCGCATTCACCATGCTAGGGGGCCTTTCAACCCCCACCTTCAACCCGTTGGGTGTGGAGCGCGGAACCGCTCGGGCGGGGGGGAGGGGAAGGGGGGGGGAGGGGAGGGGGGTGGAGGGGGGGGGCGGCAAGGGGGTTTGGGAAGGGAGAGGCCTACAAAGCAGGTAAAATGAAGGGAAGCCGGGACTGTAGGAGGAGGATTAGGAGGGTACCTGGGGTACCTGAGGTAATCCCCAAGACGCCTGGGCCTGTGGCCTCGGCGGATACATATGCATGCAGCTCGTGGTTTGAGCCATGCTGCATGGTTGAGGTCATGATGTTGCGGAGAGATGTCGTGATACCTGTGACAGGGTTATAAACATAAAGGTAGTAGATATGGCGAAAACAGGTGGTTTAATGGGACGTGTCTCTTCGTATTCGCACCCATATTGCAATCCCTTTCAGACACCATGACACAGCATGGTGCCCCATGTGACAGGCTCAAAGCCTCTCCGCGAAAGAGACAGCTCGTCAGTCCGAACTGCGCCGAATTCTGGAAGACAGTGCTCAGATAGACCAGGCAGGCATCGTTGGTCTTGTTGTCGGTAATCGATAGGGAGACAGATGAAGACTTGCAGCCAGCCCCCAGGATCATGCTGCTTTGTTGCTTTTCATTTCAGAGCCTAAATCGCTTTCTTCGCCGTCTTTCCGCGGGCTTCCCTGTATCCACCGGCACTGCTTACTGAGAGGATCAGACAACTCCAGAGATTTGTGTGCTTCCGGCTTTTGATGTTTCATCACCCATACCTCACCCCCTAGCAGAACTGCCTCACGAAATGTGGGGCGTTGGTCCAAGATTGTTCTTCAAGATGGGGAAATGCTGGGGGTTGCTCTGATCCCGTGAGGAGCAACAGGGTTGCGAAGCTGGAGAGGGCTATCAGACAGGCAGGAAGGCCGGTCTGATGCTGCGACCGCCAATAGCTCCTCTTCGTGAACTTTCTCGACGAGTGCTATGATAGTACTGTTATCATTGCTGTATTTACAGACTATTGCCAAGAGTGAGAGCAGTGGTCAAAATTCCACTGAAGGCATGAAGTGGATGTTTTTGCAGGTAGGGACAGGACAGGGGTAGGGTCCGGAAAGGTAGTTGTGGAAGTCCAAAGACTGTAGTTACTGTAGTCCTCGTAGGTGGAATTTTCATTTTCATTGGTGGAGCGGCAGTCCAGTATTGCTCTAAATCCGTCCCCTCAACACGTCGCCATTGGGTAGCTCCATAATCACTCGGAACATAGACTCAGACTCCAGAATCGTCGTGGCCGGTGTTGGATGTGGTAAACGCGACCAACACATGTGCAGGCCCGGAGTCGCCAACCAACGATGGAAAGAGCGGACAGGCGTCGTTCGCAAACATTCAAAAGTATTACCATCCCCGAGGAGGTTCTGCAGGTTGCTGATGGCAGCTCTCCGGACTCTCCAACCAGCCATGAGGAAGAGTACGGAGAGCCGCGGCCTCAGTAGCCTAGAACCGCATGTCAGAGAAATCGACGAAAATGGTTTCGGCTCCAATCTATGGTTCCTGCGTTGACATACTTACTGTTCTGCTTGTTTTTCATTTGTGTTCAGGGTGTTTTTGGGCTATCCAGGTGGTAAATGCGATGACCTCTCCTTTTTCACCACATGTGTTTTCTGTTTTTGTTGCTTGTTTCTTATAATCTTTTTGTTTCCTGTCTCGAGTCAGATTTGTGCTTTGTGTCATTGCTTCATCAGGGAGCTTCTTGTCACGACCCGAACAGTACTTGCTGCCGTAACCATACTCCACGCGGCTGCAAAAGGTGGCTGAAGCAGACTGATTGGCGAGAGTCCCGATTGTTCGCTCTGCTGTGTAATGCCTTGTTTGCTGGCACGACAGCTGGCATGGTGCATGAATTTCTCCCACCGTTGCAGAGTTCTGGGCGCTGTGAAGAAACGGGGGAAGAACTGTTGCCGGTAGCCGTTGTTGTAATTGTAGCTCGTGTCTGCGGGCACCCATGCGGACCATGAGAAATGTGAATGCAAAAGATGGCCATGCCTGTTGCCTGAACTGAGTTCGGAGCGACCAACCGGACCTGTCAGGCCTAGACGAACGGAAATCTCTCAGATTTCGTTCGATTTGCTCAGTCGACTGATTGCCTTCCTTCGCTAGCAGGCGCAGGTCTGGATCGTTGCGGACCAGCCTCAAAGTCAACTTCTGAGTATACAAGTTGCTCTAAAGGCTGATAGTCACGTCACATGTGAGTGCATTTGTCCCTGCAGCATTCACGGGGTAACCGCCAGACATCTTAGTCGGTCGGTGGCTGCAGCAGTTGCTCAGGCACTATTCCGACAGGTACAGGTTGCAGGTGCAAGCAGGTGTCACGTATCGTTTGAGTATCCTTGCAGCTCCTTGGAGCGTCAGAAGAATCTCACCATCGGAGTGCAGCAGTTTGTGCTGCTCGTGCATGAAGAGTGCACGCACGGTGCATGAGAAACGGCGACAGCTGGCAGATGTGGCGAGTTGTGTCGCCCAGGTGTCGATAAACACAGATTCCATAGCAGCAAGCATGGAAGCTGACGAGGAGGCTGTGTGATGTGCTTGTTTTGCAGAGGATGTGTTCTGCTAAATCTCTTTGTTGTCTGGTATTGGCATGCTAACGTCTGTCCAGGCGCAGCGCTTCCTGGAACCAGGCTCTGGTGCACCTGCACCCAAGCATCCCATGGACAGGCAAGTCTGCGCAAGTGATGCAACAGGGCCACGGGAGATCGCTTCGAAAGGCATTGAGGCAAGTCACGGCCAGTCAGAGCCAGGAACCCGGAAATGGAAGCTCAGCGCGCAGCAGCTATCGAGAAGGCCGTCACCGCTTCCGGGTCAGACCTGTTCCTGCAGCACTGTGCTTGCACAGGTGGCTCTCGCTGCTCGCAAGGTGACGCAGAAGCTGGAGAAACAACAGCAGGCTTGGGACAGCTTCCAACTGGGCCATCCATTCCCGTGCTCTTTCGTGTGTTTTATGCTTGCTACAAGTAAGTAAGGCAGCAGTATCCCAGAACTTGAAGTCCTTCAAGCCAAACTCGGCCCGAATCATTGAATTCTTGACAGGCTATGCTTTCGCGCCGGCGGAAGCGCTATCAGTGCGCCCAGAGTGTGACATACTAGCCTCTTTTTGCTCCGTCGACAGTCAAGCTCCTTGTAACAATTCTAGGCAGCATGTCGACAAGTTGCGCTGCTCATTAATTCTGTCTGGTTTTCTGAAAATTTTTGCCAGCGCGAGGAGCGCGCCGGCCGCACAACTTCTAAGCCAAGCACGCCATCGGCTCAGCTGTGATCGCGACTGCTACGCTGCGTAGTGTAACCAGAGCGTCACGTCGGCGATTCGTGGATCTCTAACCTAGTCAAGTTGAAGGCGTGGCTGTGGAGGAAGCTTCAAGTGAGCATTTCGAGGCCACCTCTGTGGCAGGCCAGTGCTAGCATTGTTAGTCCATGTCAGCTCTACAGGATGCAAAGCTGGATTTCAGGTGGAATCCCTGCAGTTGCCATTTTCGACTGGGCACCGGTCTTGTCTTCTCCTTGCCAAACTTGAGTAGCTAGCAATGCAGGTGGTTCTTGCTGCGGCTCGTGGTTCCGATTGGGAACCGCGGAAGATTTACATTGTCTCGGCTGAGGATGACACTCTTTTCCCTACGCGGCATGTCACTGAAGTGGTGAAAGCTGTCCACACCAAGGCCGAACTAAAACATTACTGACCGCATGGACGCCCTGTTGCTCATCATGTTTGCTTTCAGGAGGGTCCTTTGCCGGCTGAGTCGCCCTTCTACGCTGAGCTCAAGGCTCGGACCAGAGGAGAGGAGAGAGCCAGAGAGCATCTGCTGCACAATCTCCGCTTGGAGGCGCATGCACAGGTCGTCGAGGCCATCCTCCTCGCTGCGCGAGAGGTTCCGCTTCTGTCGCTTCCGAAGGACGTTGTGTGTTGGGCGCTCTGCGGCAAGCAGGTCGTTGGTCGTGTCAGTATTGTGACACTCGCTCGCCGGCCTTGGGTGGAGACTTCCGCATCATGGCCCGCTCTGCTTGGGCAAGATAGAGCAAACTTTCAGAAGCTTGATCCCGAGTTCGGGTCGCTCCAAGAACTTGTGAAGCCGCCTGCAGCAAGCCGGGGTTGGCTGAGCAGGTACCTTCCTGGTGTTGACTTTGAGAAGCTTATGCAGGCCCTTGAAATGAGAAGGTGAACGTAGTTGATGGCTTTGGCATGGTAACTGAGAGCATCAGAGAGGTGGCCGTAGCGGCTAAAGCAAATTTAACAGCGAACTGCCAGTGCAGGACCTGGAGATCGAAGTGTTTTATGCTCGCGAACATATCACGCGACCACACATCTACAATGCCCCTCGTACGAGCAGGCAGAGGGTCGCGCTGAAATTCTCGAATGTTCCGGAAGCGGCCAGGTTGAGGTGGTTGGACGGCTGGACTTGAGCGGGTTATACTTGCGACTTGAGCCGAGACGAGGAAGCTGAAGCCAAGGCTCAGTTGGAGGAGGGCGTCGACATGTTCGTGATTGCGAAACGAAACGTGCTGCACACAGTCTCAACACAATGCAGGCTGTTGCCATCATTAACACTTCCTTGGCTGAGGCGATGCTCAGGTGCCTGCGCAAGCTCTACGGTGCCAAAGCGAAGACTCGGACCTAGCATGCCCAAGTTGCCGTCCTAATGAAGTCTCCGTCAGAAAGTCAGCTTCATGCTCGGTGGTTTTCTGTATGCTGAGTCATGCTCAGTCCAGTCGCCTGTGACGTGCAATGCAAACCCTCGTTGGTTTCGGGCCCGACAAGAAAGATCCTAGAGGTGTGGGTTGCCCTCGGTGTTCAGGTTGGATGTACATGATGTAATTGTTTTGCTGAAAAGATGTTTTCATGACAGGATGAGGCTTTCCGTGCGTGAAGGTAGCTCTAATTTAGCGTTGTATTTGCATTCTCAGCGTTTCGCTTGCAGCGGAGTGTTCGGATCCAGACTTCACACGATGCAATCTGCTTGAACATGAGCATGTCAAATGTCAAGACCCTGAGAGTGCCGGCAGAAACCGCAGAGTCTCGTCAACCGCCACTCCGAGCTGGACGTGGAACATCCCTGATCTCGAGCTGCAAAGAATGCGATGAAATTGCCGGAGGACAAGCACACGCATGCATGCCAAGACGAAATCGAAGCGACCTATGGCTGCCGAGCAGGTCAACAGCAGTCGCGAGTGAAACCTCGCCGGGCATGGGCGTTGTGGACAAGCGTTCAGCTGTCGTGAAGTGTCAGAAAGAGATGAGAGAGGCAGTGAACTGCCTGCCTTTTCTCATGTTTGGCCAGCTTCAGCGAACTCGTGCCTTTCCTTGAAGAGTGCGGCTTTCTGCAAAACCTTTCAGTTCCAACCAACGTGTGAGAAAAGTGAGTATCACGGGGGCTTTCTTGATGTAACTGCCCAGGAGCATGCACGTAATCTGCGTGGGTGACTCGACAGTGGAGCATCTCGCCATCAAGGAGGCTGGCATTTCCGGTTCAGAGCAGGCAAGGGTGTGAAAAATAAGATTCTTCACAGGTGCTGTGGTGCTGCCCGCAGGACCTCTCCCACACATGATGTGCTGTTAGTTACGACGAGTGTCGTGCCAGTGGGCGTCAAGCAAGGGATGTCACGCCCTGCTGTGAGGAGGCGGGCAGCTACTGCAAAACCATCAAATTGATGCCGGGCCCTGTGGAGTCCTTGCGGCCTTGCTGTCGACAGGTACCCGTCATGCTGCTGCATTTACTCGACAGGTCAGACCCATCAGTTCAGAACCTTACTGAAGAGCTGCAGGCACAGGACATCGGTCACGCAATAGTTATGCTGTGGATATGCTGTTGCAGGTGCTTACTTCCTGGCTCCAGCAAATAGTCGTATGTGTGAAAGATTTCGACATCAGCCTTTGGACTCAGCACGATGAGAGCTTCAATATCCAACGGCTATAATTCCGGCTTCGATCTCAGGCTTCGAGTCGGAAGACTTTCTGGAGAAAATGGCCGCCGCGCTCAACAACGGCGGTACTGAATGAACGTAGATGTAGGCTCTTGTCGTTCAGGCACGATGTGCGGTTTTCCCTGTCTGAGCACACGCCGTTGTGGACGACATGCAACAGAGATGTAGCCGCTGCAGACCACAGGGCAGCTTCATACGCAGGGCTCCTGTCGGTCTTTCCTGACAGTATCTACACGTATCATGTATCCAGCATGTATCTATGGTGGGTCTATGGCGGATGTCAGTAGGTTTGCCGAGCATGTACGTTAACCGTCAACCCTACGTGCTTAGACTTTTGGCTAATAGCTGGCTTACTGAGCATTACTGTATTGTTTGCATTGAGAGCTGCAGAGTTTCACCGCGGACGCTTCGAACGCACGCCCGGGTGGTCAGATGAAGCCCCGGTCGGTGCCACGACGAAGTCCAACCACAGTCCTCGTCGCACTTTGGCGGCCGGCCAGGCCTATGCTTAACTGTAGCACAAAGACTCATCATCGACCGTGTCGCTTCCACCATTCCAGCTGCTCCGCTCAGACAAGGAGCTTCTCATATAGGCGAAACCAGGACCAGACATATACAAGGCAGTATGCATGATGGAAGCGGCAAGTGTGAGCGGGCCTCATTGCGTCTTACAAAAACAATCCCGACTGACTGATCCTTGAGCTGTCCTTCTCATATAGGCGAAACCAGGACCAGACATATACAAGGCAGTATGCATGATGGAAGCGGCAAGTGTGAGCGGGCCTCATTGCGTCTTACAAAAACAATCCTGTGGTCTGTGGGGGTCTGGCGCAGCGGGCCACAGGCAACCTAGTTACGCTTCCCAATGTCATGCGGAGGCCTTCCTGGCCAGAATACAGGTCAGAGTAAGAAACCTGGTTCTGGAGACTTCCTCACTGACATATATATATATATATATATGTATATATATTCTAGGGGCTGCGCCCAGGTGCGGGCAGCGCGAGTTGTTGTCAGCGGATGTAGCGGGGGAACGGGAAAGACACGTTAGCGGATGTAGCGGGGGAACGGAAAGGCACTGTCAAAATTTCCGGACGGTGCCGAGACAACGACAGCTCGACACCGGAAAAAAAGTGCGACGTAGGCCCGAAGTGCACAACTTGTGGGTGATCTCAGGCTCTGAGCCCTTGTTTGCCCTCCATGTGGCCCGCACCCCCCGTCCGCCGGACCCCGCTGATGCTGATGATGCGCGCCCTTTGGGGGCTTCCGCAAGCCACGCAAAAACTTGGAAATCATAACTTCGCGCCCACTTCGCGCCGCGGGGCCGGTTGCGGGCGCACGAATGCTCATGATGCTCGCTGGCTCGCCTCCTGGGGTCGTCCACGCCGGCCCCGAAACCCGCCATGCCGTGGGGAATGGCTGCGAAGCGCGTGCGCGTTCCGAGACGCCTCCGGGCCAGGGCAGGCGCGGCCCGATGGAGAAACGGAGGTCCGATGATGCGGGGTCGGCGGCGGGTCGGCGGCACAAGCCGTCGTGGCTTTTGCTTCGCAAGACAAGCCATTCGTCTGAGCCATTGCTCAGTCCATACAGGGCAGCGAAGCGCTGCATGGAGAAACGGAGGTCCGATGATGCGGGGTCGGCGGCGGGTCGGCGGCACAAGCCGTCGTGGCTTTTGCTTCGCAAGACAAGCCATTCGTCTGAGCCATTGCTCAGTCCATACAGGGCAGCGAAGCGCTGCCCGATTTATGGGCTGCCGCCACTGCCGCCGACCCCAAAAGAAGAGAGGTGACTATCCAAGGAACGCAGCAGGTGTTGAAAGCAGCCAACTGCAAGTCTTGTAACTGGCACGAGTCTAATACTAGTACTAGTACTAGTAAGACGTGTACTACGGCACGAACGAACCTCTTCTCGGAATGCGAATGCCGTGGTGACAGTGGTGGAGGTGGTGGGGGTGGTGAGGGCGGTGGGGCGGTGTGGGCGGTGGGGGCGGTGTGGGCGGTGGGGGCGCGGGGTCGTCCGGGCACACATTGGCAGCCTTTAAATACTCTTTAAACACCTATACAAATACAGCGGTTAACTCCCCTGACAGAACACTGGGGGTGGTGGCAGTGGTGGAGGTGGTGGGGGTGGTGAGGGCGGTGGGGGCGCGCGGGGGTCCGGGCACACATTGGCAGCCTTTAAATACTCTGTAAACACCTATACAAATACAGCGGTTAACTCCCCTGACAGAACACTGTGGGTGGTGGCAGTGGTGGAGGTGGTGGGGATGGTGAGGGCGGTGAGGGCGGTGTGGGCGGTGGGGGCGGTGGGGGCGGTGTGGGCGGTGGGGGCGTGGGGGGGTCCGGGCACACATTGGCAACCCTTTTGTGCTCTTTAAACACCTAAACAGATACAGCGGTTAACTCCCTGACAGAACATTGGGGGTGGTGGCAGTGGTGGAGGTGGTGGGGGTGGTGAAGGTGGTGAGGGCGGTGTGGGCGGTGGGGGCGGTGGGGCGGTGTGGGCGGTGCGGCGCGGGGGGTCCGGGCACACATTGGCAGTTTTTTCTATTCTTTAAACACCTATACAAATACAGCAGTTAACTCTCCTGACAGAACACTGGGGGTGGTGGAGGTGGTGAGGGTGGTGAGGGCCGTGAGGGCCGTGGGGGCGGTGGGGGCGGTGTGGGCGGTGGGGGCGCGGGGTCCAACCACACATCAAATACAGCGGTTTACTCCCCTGACAGAACACTGGGCGTGGTGGCTTTGGTGGAGGTGGTGGGGGTGGTGAGGGTGGTGAGGGCGGTGTGGGCGGTGGGGGCGGTGCGGGGGGGGTCCGGGCACACATTGGCAGCCTTTTCGTACTCTTGAAAATACAGCGGTTAACTCCCTTGACAGAACACTGGGGGTGGTGGCAGTGGTGGAGGTGGTAGGGGTGGTGAGGGCGGTGAGGGCGGTGTGGGCGGTGGGGGCGGTGGGGGCGGTGTGGGCGGTGGGGGCGCGGGGGGTCCGGGCACACATTGGCAGCCTTTAAATATTCTTAAAACACCTATACAAATACAGCGGTGAACTCCCCTGACAGAACACTGGGGGTGGTGGCAGTGGTGGAGGTGGTGGGGGTGGTGAGGGCGGTGAGGGCGGTGTGGGCGGTGGGGGCGCGGGGGGGTCCGAGAGAGGGTCGGGGGTCCGGGCACACATTGGCAGCCTTTAAATACTCTTTAAACACCGATACAATTTCAGCGGTTAACTCCTCTGACAGAACACTGGGGGTGGTGGCAGTGGTGGAAGTGGTGGGGGTGGTGAGGGCGGTGAGGGCGGTGTGGGCGGTGGGGGCGGTGGGGGTGGGGGCGGTGGAGGTGTGGGGGGGTCCGGGCACACATTGGCAGCCTTTAAATACTCTTTACACCTATACAAATACAGCAGTTAACTCCTCTGATGGAACACTGGGGGTGGTGGCAGTGGTGGAGGTGGTGGGGGTGGTGAGGGCGGTGGGGGCGCGGGGGGGTCCGGGCACACATTGGCAGCCTTTAAATACTCTGTAAACACCTATACAAATACAGCGGTTAACTCCCCTGACAGAACACTGTGGGTGGTGGCAGTGGTGGAGGTGGTGGGGATGGTGAGGGCGGTGAGGGCGGTGTGGGCGGTGGGGGCGGTGGGGGCGGTGTGGGCGGTGGGGGCGTGGGGGGGTCCGGGCACACATTGGCAACCCCCAAATACTCTTCATTGGCACCCTTTTGTGCTCTTTAAACACCTAAACAGATACAGCGGTTAACTCCCTGACAGAACATTGGGGGTGGTGGCAGTGGTGGAGGTGGTGGGGGTGGTGAAGGTGGTGAGGGCGGTGTGCTCGGTGGGGGCGGTGTGGGCGGTGGGGGCGGTGGGGGCGCGGGGGGTCCGGGCACACATTGGCAGCCTTTAAATACTTTTTAAATCGCCTGACAGAACACTGGGGGTGGTGGCAGTGGTGGAGGTGGTGGGGGTGAGGGCGGTGGGGCGGTGCGGGCGGTGGGGGCGGTGCGGTGGGGGCGTGGGGGGGTCCGGGCACACATTGGCAGCCTTTAAATACTCTTTAAGCACCTTTGCAAATACAGCGGTTAACTCCCCTGACAGAACACTGTGGGTGGTGGCAGTGGTGGAGGTGGTGGGGGTGGTGAGGGCGGTGGGGGCGCGGGGGGGTCCGGGCACACATTGGCAGCCTTTAAATGCTCTCTCAACACCTATACAAATACAGCGGTTAACTCCCCTGACAAAACTCTGGGTGGTGGCAGTGGTGGAGGTGGTGGGGGTGGTGAGGGCGGTGAGGGCGGTGAGGGCGGTGTGGGCGGTGGGGGCGGCGGGGGCGGTGTGGGCGCGGGGGGGTCCGGGCACACATTGGCAGCCTTGAATTTCTCTTTAAACACCTCTTCAAATACAGCGGTTAACTCCAGGTGGTGGGGGTGGTGAGGGCGGTGAGGGCTGTGTGGGCGGAAATACAGCGGTTAACTCCCCAAACAGAACACTGGGGGTGGTGGCAGTGGTGGAAGTGGTGGGGGTGGTGAGGGCGGTGAGGGCGGTGTGGGCAATGGGGGTGGTGGGGGCGGTGGAGGTGTGGGGGGGTCCGGGCAGCGTGGTCCTGCTCGCCCCACCCCCCCCCCAGATTGTCATGATATCCCTTCCCCCCACCCGCCACCCGGCACCCGGCACCCGCCAACCCCCCCCCCCCACCAACCCACCAACCACACACCACCCACCTACCCAGCGCCCACCGCCCAACCACCCACCGTCCACCGTCCACCCACCACCCGCCCGTGCACCGCCCACCCACCACGACCCAGCACCCGCCAGCCACCACCCCACCGCCCACACCCCTCACCTAACCGCTGTATTTGTATAGGTGTTTAAAGAGTTTTTAAAGGCTGCCAATGTGTGCCGGACCCCCCCACACCTCCACCGCCCCCACCACCCCCACCGCCCCCATTGCCCACACCGCCCTCACCGCCCTCACCACCCCCACCACTTCCACCACTGCCACCACCCCCAGTGTTCTGTCAAAAAAATTAACCGCTGTATTGTATAGGTGTTTAAAGAGTATTTAAAGGCTGCCAATGTGTGCCCGTACCCCCCCGCGCCCACACCGCCCCCACCGCCCCCACCGCCCACACCGCCCTCACCGCCCTCACCACCCCTACCACCTCCACCACTGCCACTACCCCCAGTGTTCTGTCAGGGGAGTTAACCGCTGTATTTGTATAGGTGTTTGAAGAGTATTTAAAGGCTGCCAATGTGTGCCCGGACCCCGCGCCCCCACCGCCCCCACCGCCCACACCGCCCCTACCGCCCCCACCGCCCACACCGCCCTCACCGCCCTCACCACCCCCACCACCTCCATCACTGCCACCAGCCCCAGTGTTCTGTCAAAAGAGTTAACCGCTGTATTTGTATAGGTGTTTAAAGAGCATTTAAAAGCTGCCAATGTGTGCCCGGACCCCCCCCGCGCCCCCACCGCCCCCCCCCACCGCCCACACCGCCCTCACCGCCCTCACCACCCCCACCACCTCCACCACTGCCACCACCCCCAGTGTTCTGTCAGAGGAGTTAACCGCAGTATTTGTATAGATGTTTAAAGAGTATTTAAAGGCGGTGGGGCGGTGTGGGCGGTGGGGGCCGGGCACCGTTGGCGCCCGGATTTGATGGTGCAAACACTTACTTTTAAAAGTAAGCGGGGGTCAGGGGGCGCAGCCCCCAGCCAATTTTGTCATCATTTTCGGCCCAAACTGGCTATTTCTTTTTTTTTCGATGCGAGAGTCCATAATTGGAAGTCATTTGTTTATTTTTCGTGCAGCAAAGATCTAAATTCCAGGGACACAGCCGAACCGTCTTCCTGGGCCCTGCCGCTCTGAAATTCTGTCTGACAGTTTTTTTTTTTGTTTGGCTGTCTTGTTTCCTTCTTCCTTAAATTTTCGAACACGAATTTTGTTTGTTCTTGGTTCCAGAAATTCGCAATATGTGAAAGTTGGAAGTTTTGCTTTTTTGTTGTTCTGCCTGTCTGGAGTTGAATTTTGGTTGTAAGTCCAGGCACAACAGGACTCAAGAGACTTGAAGCCGATGGTAAAGAGGCTTTTCCAAATTCAGACCCCTTGAAATGGCGTTATTCAAGGCAGCACGTCGGCACGAATCACCCAGACTGAGGTTTTGTTTGAAAGCGTTGCCAGGGCCAGTTACAACCAGAAATGAAGAGACTCAGAGCCAATACACGGACCAAATAGAATCATTTCTCGCTGCAAAAAGGCCGCACGGTTTGGCACGAACTTCACCCTGATCTGAGACTTTGTTTGAAAGCATTGCCAACGGGAAATGAAGAGACTTGGAGCCAACACGGACTGAATAGAATCATTTCTCGCTGTATAAAGGCCAAACTGGAAACTGGAACTTTGTTTTGCCAGTGCCAGGCACAACGGAAAATGAAGAGACTTGGAGCGAATAGACAAACTAAATGGGCCTTTCCACTATAAAATTTCTTTCCGAAGTGCTGTCCGCCGCAAAACAAGAACTTCAAGCAGAAATATTGCAGATGTAAGGCTAGCAAAGGTAAATTGTGCAGATTAAAGAACCAAAATTTTGCTCAGAACAAAACAGAAATGAGCTGGTTCTGCACCTGCCGACTGCTCTGGAACTGTTGACGCGAGTTCAAACAGAACTGTCAACAGGTGCCAAACTTTTCCAGTTTTCGGGTTTTATTGCCAGGGCCCGTGCACAAGGGGTTAAAACAGTGCTCTCTCAAAGGATGGGACTCTATGAACTGGTTTCACTTTCACAAAGTTCTTGCTGTGTTGGATTTCCAAAAACTTACATGTTTTGGCTACATTTGTTGAATTGCTTTGTTGTTGTTGGTTGTCCTCATTTTGGTTCTTGTTGTTGTTGTCCTTCTTCTTTGTTTCAACCGACATCAAGTGATCGTGATGAAAGCAAAGGTTAGTGAACTTCCCTACTACGTGCTGGGGCTGAAGATCAAGACCTGGATGTCGGGAATGTTGGCATGACATGCTCTTTGATGGCTTGCCATGACTCAGCCTTTTTAAGACGGAAAGCGCAGTGAGTCAATCCGCCATGCCTCCAAAACAAGAGCAAGTTTGGTACTTCGATTCGTTGCTGCCAGTACAACCACGCGAAGGATTGTTGGATTGCTGTAAGAGGTGGAGCGAAAAGGAAAAGGAAGCCAAGCTTCGCTTCGTATCTTCTCAATTGAAGAAGAAGACGACGCAGATTGGTTACTGTCACAGGCACGAAGCATGCTCCATGAAGTTCCGGTTTTCCTTGGTGAGCAACAAAGAAGAAGGCAGTTTGGCAAAATAGCTTTGTTGTTGTTTGGGAAATCGGTTTCAAAATTCTTGTGAAGCGATGTCCGAGAGTGCTAAGGTTCTGCACTTCCACCAGACTTGCTTGATTTGGATGAGGAAGTTTTTTACTTGCGTGTTGAAAGATCTGTTCGGGAGGGTCGCAAGCACGACGGGAAGGTCATTGCAGAGGTCGAGCAGCATCTGAATAAGCACCAGTTTGGACGCCACCTTCCAGCAAAACAGGCGAAGAAGGCTATGACAGAGCTGGGAATTCCGGCGGAACACATTCCAAGTGATCGAGCTTTAGATGGTGTCAGACACCGACATTTGGAAGAGGGCAAATCCTATGACGGCAAGTTCGTTTCCACATTTGCAGCTTTTTGCCAAAACCCACCCTCGCCTGTCGTGGTGCTTCACACGGAAGAGACACCTCTGGTTTCAGAAGAAACGGTTCGGGTCTTGTTCTACGAGCAAGAGAATTTGGACGCCGTGATTGCCTACCTTCGCACACAGGATCGGTGTGTGCTCGTCATGGATGCCACATTCAAGACCAATGTGCAAGATCTTGTGTTAGCTAGCCTCGGACTGGTCATCTTGCACCAGGTTGGCGGAGTGGTGCGCAATCGATTCTGGCCGGTAGTTTGTGCTGTGTGTGACAAGGAAGACGAACCGTGTTATGCCCTCTTATGTCGATCTTTCCAGAAGCTATTGGAAGCTTCGGGTTTGGATTGGCAGAAACTGGTGACGAATGTGGTCATGGATGGTGCAGGCGGTGCCATCAATGCCACAAGTGCATGCTTTCCAGACGCTACTTTGCACCGGGACTTAGAACACATAAAGAAAGACGTCAAGCGCACCGGGAGCAAGAAGAAAGTTGACCCAGAGTTGACATTGGAGATAACGGAAATCATCCAGTTCAGCGCGAAAATCGCACATCCACTACAGTTCCATGTCATCTGGGAAGACACGTTGCGAAGGCTGCGTGACCCCGAAGATTGGAATCAGGACAGCGCAGTTTGTGTGTGTGTGTAAAGTGGATTCCTGAGCTCGCTTCATAGACTATTTTCTTCGATCTTGGTAGCTGGGTTGATCGACTAGTTTCTTCGATCTTTTGAGTTGGCGTTATAGACTATGTTTTTCGATCTTGATAGCACTGGGTTGATAGACCAGAAGGCTGCTGCTGGGAAAGCTGCCTTGGGGTAGCGCAGCGGAGCTTGTAGGTTTGCTTGAGGAGAAATTCGCGGATTACTTGGAGAAGTGGGTCTTGCAGAAGAAAGGCTTGTGGTGGAGCGCAGATTGGCAGAGTGGTCTCGGTCAAGTGTGCCCGGGTTACGGTAATTATGTGTCGAATTCCCAAGAGCGGGCTTGGCGTTCGATCAAAGGTCTTTTCAAGAAAGGCTTCCGACACCAGGATGTCAGCCAATTGGTGCGTGAAACAGCAGTGACCCTGCAGACTCTGGTGCGCGGAGGACAGTATGCCAAAGCATGCTTTCAAATCGAGGAGCCTCCTGAGTCACTTGCGTACAGTGCGAAAAGGTTAAAGTCCGAGCAAGATGATGAAGAAGGAATCCAATCCCACCGGCTCACATTGGACTGGACTTGATGCAGCAGTGGCGAGATAAGGAAGGCATGCGGCATGTGTAGTGAGTGTAGTGTTCCCAAAAGCAGTGTTGGTGCTTGGTTAAAACAGTGAAGTAGTGTATGCTGCAAGGTGACGCAAACACCTTTCTCAAGTACGAGACTGCGGGCCGCATCAGGGTGGACTGTCGGACGGTGGACATTACTTCAGTCATCGTTATGCCAAAGTACAAACTGGAGTATGCCAAGAACAAGAAAACGGACATGGTGCAGCGGTTGGACTTGGCACTTTGTTCTTTGTATGAAGATGGTGAAGCTGCTTTTCGCACTGCTTTGGGAAACCCAAGGCAGTGGTCCTTTTCCATGCATAAAAAATTGTTCTACAAGTACACTGTGATGTATGTGCTTAGCACGGGCCGTGTCGTGGATGAACATCCACATTTTGTGCACAGTAGCTGCAGCGAGCAGGCTTTCTTTTACAAATCCGTGTTAGGCGGCTTGAATCTCCACCCCATTGCAAGGGGCCCCAAGACTCTCAAAGCCAGGCGTCCACGGCGGGACAGGCGAACCGAGGAGTTTCGCAAAAAAATGCGTATACTCCTTCGCCTTGATCCTACCACAGCTGACTCCCGCTTCGCGGCCCGCACAAAAGATGTTCCACCTGCGCCTGCTTTAAGAGCAGATCGGTCCGAAAGTGTCTGTTCGGAGCCGATTGTTTTGTGTGTTGAATGATTTTGGACATGTGCTTTGACGGATAGGAGAAAGTGCGGAATTTGATACCCTAGTTTACGGCTGCGGGATGATTTGGAACGCTGTGTTATTGGGCTGGGTCAATGTCGTAAGTACTTGGATGGCGCTTTGCGGCGAGATCAACTCGGAAAGCAGTCAGATGTTTTTATTTTGATGCAATGAAAAGTCAGATTTTTTTATTTTGGTGCAAGCAGAAGCTGCGGAATGCCAAGGCGTGAGTGCCTGAAGCCTTCGTTTGTCCCACGGCCTTGTAGTGCCTTGTAGTGGGTTTTGAATATTGGGTTTAGGTTTCGGGTTTTGAATTTATGGTTTAGGTTTCGGGTTTTGAATATAGGGTTTAAGTTTCGGGTTTTGAATATAGGGTTTAGGTTTCGGGTTTTGAGTATAGGGTTTAGGTTTAGGGTTTAGGTTTAAGGTTTTGAATTTAGGGTTTAGGTTCAGGGTTTCGTTTTAGGGAATTGAATTTAGGGTTTAGGTAGGGCAGGCCCAGGCAAACGCTCACCTGTGCAGGCAAGCGTCGCGCAGAGGCGGGAGCTGCGGCCACTCACCTGTGCAGGCAAGCGCCGCCACCAGCAGATCCGCGCGTTATTGGGCCGGGCACACATTGGCAGCCTTTAAATACTCTTTAAACACCTATACAAATACAGCGGTTAACTCCCCTGACAGAACACTGGGGGTGGTGGCAGTGGTGGAGTGGTGGGGGTGGTGAGGGCGGTGAGGGCGGTGTGGGCGGTGGGGGCGGTGGGGGCGGTGTGGGCGGTGGGGGCGCGGGGGGGTCCGGGCACACATTGGCAGCCTTAAAACACCTATAAAAATACAGCGGTTAACTCCGCCGACAGAACACTGGGGGTGGTGGCAGTGGTGGAGGTGGTGGGGGTGGTGAGCGGTGAGGGCGGTGTGGGCGGGGGGCGGTCTGGGTGCGGGAGGATCAAGCGGTGAGGGTGGTGGTACAAAGGCAGGTGAGGGCAGTGAGGGCGGTGGGGGTGGTGAGGGCGGTGAGGGCGGTGGGGGCGGTGGGGGCTCGGGGGGGTCCGGGCGTACTTTGGCAGCCTTTAAATACTCTTTCAACACCTACAAATACAGCGGTGAAAGACTCTTTGAACAGAGCGGTGGAGGCGGTGGAAGCGGTGTGGGTGCGGACACCTCTCGGGATATCACGGGCGCCGCCCGCAGGGGTCGGCGGATATATATATATATATATATATATATATATACACACATACATATATACATAGCTACACATATAGATGTAGGTACAGACATATACGTATAGATAAATAAATAATAAATATATATACACACATATTTAAACATATATATATATATATATATATAATACCCTCGATTTATCCAGGGTCCGGAAGGGTGGCCCTGGGTACCCTTGGGAACAGGGTCCGAAAGGGTCGCCCGACCCATTCGGACCCTACCTCAGATATTAGAAAAGCAAGCCAGTTAAAACCAGATTTAACTTGCCTGCGGTAGTCCTGCGGTATCACCGCACCGAAAGAATGCCTTTTGGGGGGTGGCTGACTGGGGGGGGCACTAGGCATTGAAATACCTTGTAGACCCCCGGAGTGCCTTGTATGGGGGTCATAGAATATGAGAGAATAGGTGTGCTGGCGAGTGGTACAAAACATTTACCCTGAAAACCTAAACCCTGAAACCTATACACCAAAATCCAGAGACATCCAAAAACCTCAAAATCCAGAATCCTTGGAAGAGCCCCTGAACCCACAAACCCCTAAACCCAGAAATTCTTAACCCTTATGTCGCTTATGTCCCGCAGTAACCCAAAACCCCAAGCGCAGAAACCCTAAACCCAGAAAGCCCTTGAACCCAGATACCCACCAAGCCCCCAAACGCAGAAGCATTGTACCCAAGCGCCTGAACTCAGAAACTGAAAACCCAAAACCACTGAACAGGGGAACCGCTGAACCCAGAAACCCTAAACCCAGAATCCCAGAAACCCTGAGCCCATATCCCAGAAACCTTAAACCCAGATCCCAGAAACCCTGAGCCCATAGCCCAGAAACCCTGGCATGAACAGCCTGGCTTCAAGTGAAATCGGCTTGAAGTTGATCCTGTATGTTCGTCCTTAATCGCTACAGACCTCGCCAGGCTTGCCCGAGTGTGAGTGTCAAAACCCAGAAACCCAAAACCTTGTACTCCAAACCCTTGAACTCAGAAGCTAACAACCCAGAACACCTAAACCCAGAAGTTCTGAACCCCCAAATCTGCGAGTAAGCCCAGAAACCCTGCACGCAGAAACCCTAAACCCAGAAAACTCCTGAAGCCAGAAATGCAGAACCCAGAAACCGCAAACCCCGGAAGCCGCAGACATCATAACCTGAAACCCAAAATCACCGAACCGAGAACCGCTGAACCCAGAAACCGCAAACACCCAAACACAGAAACCCTGTAGAACCCAGAATCCCTAAGCCCTTAAACCAAAACCTTAAACCCCTGGACGCTGCACCGAAGCACAATAGCGGCTTGAAGCAAGTCACATGTCGTGCTCGAATCGAGTGGCCGACATGCCGACGCCACAGGGGCGACGCCGGGCGTCGCAACAGGAATCCACCGAGCGGCGCCCGGCGTCGCCCACACCTGTGGGAGCGGGGTGACGCCGGGCGCCGCTCGGTGGATTCCTGTTGCGACGCCCGGCGTCGCCCCTGTGGCGTCGGCATGTCGGCCACTCGATTCGAGCACGACATGTGACTTGCTTCAAGCCGCTATTGTGCTTCGGTGCAGCGTCCAGGGGTTTAAGGTTTTGGTTTAAGGGCTTAGGGATTCTGGGTTCTACAGGGTTTCTGTGTTTGGGTGTTTGCGGTTTCTGGGTTCAGCGGTTCTCGGTTCGGTGATTTTGGGTTTCAGGTTATGATGTCTGCGGCTTCCGGGGTTTGCGGTTTCTGGTTCTGCATTTCTGGCTTCAGGAGTTTTCTGGGTTTAGGGTTTCTGCGTGCAGGGTTTCTGGGCTTACTCGCAGATTTGGGGGTTAAGAACTTCTGGGTTTAGGTGTTCTTGGTTGTTAGCTTCTGAGTTCAAGGGTTTGGAGCACAAGGTTTTGGGTTTCTGGGTTTAGGGTTTCTGGGCTATGGGCTCAGGGTTTCTGGGATTCTGGGTTTAGGGTTTCTGGGATATGGGCTCAGGGTTTCTGGGATTCTGGGTGTAGGGTTTCTGCGTTCACCGGTTCCTCTGTTCAGTGGTTTTGGGTTTTCAGTTTCTGAGTTCAGGCGCTTGTGTACAATGCTTCTGCGTTTGGGGGCTTGGTGGGTATCTGGGTTCAAGGGCTTTCTGGGTTTAGGGTTTCTGCGTTTGGGGTTTTGGGTTACTGCGGGACATAAGCGACATAAGGGTTAATAATTTCTGGGTTTCGGGGTTTATGGGTTCAGGGGCTCTTCCAAGGATTCTGGATTTTGAGTTTCTGGATGCTTTTGCGCAGGCCCCGCGAACTTAGGTAGGAACCCGAGCAAACAACCACGGCCTGGGAAGCTTGAGTGTGCGCCTTGTCCCGAGGCCCGCTGCCTGCTACTTCTGTGAACTTCTGCGTGGGTGCTGGAAAAATATATGCGGAAACCATGCTGAATATCATGAAAACTATGTTGAGCCATACCCAAATTCAAGCCGAGCCCGACGCAGACTCAATGACTACCAGCAGGGTCCGAATGGGTGGGTCCGAAAGGGTCCGGCCAGATCTACGGGAGACCCTGGGAACCACCCTTTCGGACCCACCAAACAGGGTCCGAAAGGGTGTCCCCCGGCCGACCCTGCGTATCTCGATCCTATTATATATATATATATATACAAATATGCACACACATACATCTCTTTATACATATGCATACTTACACACATATATATACATATATACTGACATATACATATATATATATATATATACACATTTACATATATATATATATACATACATACATATATATATATATATATATATATTCCACACACTCGTTTTGAGGGTTGGATCCTTGGGGGCTGGATCAGGGGGGTTTGAAGGCCAAAACCAATTTCCTCAATAGTGCAGTTCAATATACCGATTTAAGGTTTCAAGCTGTTGTAGTCTTAGCTTATTTATGTATTTTATTAGGAATTTCAGTGCCGGGGGCACGGCCGTTGACCAAAACATTTTAAAGCACACTGGGAAGCCAGCGTGAGGAAACCCTTTTTTGCCAAACATTTTTGCATTTGTCCAAGCCGGATGTATTGAGCGATGGTGTTCGCTTCTGTCCAAGCCGGATGTGTTGGAAGCTGAAACGTGCACTCGTGCCGAGGGACGAGGTACGACAGTGTATGCTAGCGCTAGTATCCCTTTGGGAAACATCGAAGGTGTTTCGCTAGAAAACGTCGAAGGGGTTTTCCTCTGAAGCTAAACAGAACGAAGCTTGTCTGTTTGCTAGAGTGTCTGCACATGGCCGGTGAAGCAGTGCTACTCCGTGGCCATTGTGCTGAAAGGCCCCCAGCTATTGGGGGGCAAATTTCGAGTGGGGGTAGGAAGGGGAACAGGGCTAATTAGCCCTGCTTTGGGTGCGCTGCCATGTCGGACAGCGACGCTACCCTGGCGCCGACCACGCCAGATGGCGCAGCAGCTACAGCCGTCGACTGCGCTACAGTGGTTGGGGATTCCCCGCCCCCGCTAAGTGGGTCGTGTCCTACCGAGGTACCCACGCTAGGGGGGGACGACACCGCGGGGGCTCCCTCCGGGGAGGTACCCTCGTGGGTCCCGCAGACCCCAGCTAGTGACCCACAGCCCGAGGAGACGGAGCTACTCTTCGAGGGTTGGGAGATGGAGGCAGAGCTAGAGGCGCAGGCTACGGTCCAGCAGGAACGTAGGCGCACGCTAGACAGGGCCTACCGGCATCTCACCAGCCAGGGGTTTGGGGTCTTGGAGCTAGCGGTGGTGGACCTGGACGACGCAGAG